GCACATCGGCGGAAGCACCGCGCAGATTTCAGCAAGGTGGCAGCGTATTGCAGCTGAACTCCATCTAATCCAGGTGCAATACGCAAAAGTAGGCTTCAAGGAATCCCTTGAATCCGGACGCCGGTTTTGCCTGTACTAGCGTCTCCGGCAATTTGTTCCAATATTTTTCCACTTGACGCTCGAAGCCTAGAGGTTAAGCGAGACGCTTTAAATCTGGTACCATCGGGGTGCGCGTGTGCTGCTTGGTGCACGAACGTGCGGCAGCGGCCTCTACAAATGGAAGTGGCCCAGCTACAGTATCCGGTGTGTCATAAGGTGATCAACTCGGAACCGACTATATGGGTAGGGTAAAAAGGATTAGTCTCTTACATCTATCCTCGTAGATCATACTCCGTACACTGTGGATGAGCCGGGTGGCCACATGGTGAATCCGTTGCAATCACTGCACCTCATCTATTGCGATCGGACAATAGGAGAGTGAACCATATTCATGCACGGTCTTATCATGGAAGAGAGCGAACGCGTCGCAATATCTTCAAATCCAGTGCAGAAGCTGCGTGTAAGTGCTCAAAGCAGGCATAGTCCGTTTGCGTACCGTATGTTCGTGTTGTCCACAGACTTCAGATCACAGCGTGAGAGTACGCCTAGATCGTTTATGGAGCTTGTCAGGTTCAGCGGTTGGCCTTTCTTTTGAAATTACCGAACGTATGACACAGTGTTGACCGTATGGCTGTTCGAATACGGAGTCCCTTGCGCAAGGATTGAGAAAATCTATGGAATTCCTCTTATATTGTCTTTCCAAGAAATCTATTAAACCTGCGAATAGTTGTGGTCCTATTTGCCTACAACGGAGAAAACGCATTTGGGCCCATCATTCACCCCATGACATTGAAAGAGTCGGCAGTCAAACTGCGAAGCAATGCAGGTCAATATAGGTGAATCGAGGTGTTCATGTTCATCTGTCACCCACTCATCTTTCAATGACTTGAGGAACCACTCAATTTTACGAATGCGCAGTAAGGAAGTCACATTCAAGCTTGTTGAATAATGTGGAACGGAAATGTTCAGCTCAGGGAATAGACTAAACCTTGAATGGACAACCCGAGCTACATATATTTCTTTTATTGCAAACAATTATGGGCCCTCAACGTTTTGTACTGGTTGCTGATGCGAGGATTTCACATGCAGGTATGCCGCAACATGGGTGCATGTTATTAAAACTAGCATCCCACCAAAATTTGACTTATTTTCTTTTTAAAAATACCAGTTCGCGTTCGGTTTGTAGCTAAAACGTTTCCATGGTTTCTGAACCTAGCCGTTCGCGGTCTAGGTTTTGTGCTCTTCATTATTGACGGCATCTTGGTCGCAAGTCGTGACCATGACGAACGCTTACGTCGTCTGCGACAACTTTTTAAACGAGTTTCGCATTATGTAGTAGTTATTCAGACCGCCGAGAGTCAACTTAGTGTTAATCTGGTAGACTTACTTCGTCACTGTATTGCACCTACCGGAATTACACCCCTACCTAACAGAGTGACAGCCATCGCTGAGTATCCCATCTATGATTCCTTCAACTAGTTACGCCGGTTTGTAGTCGTGGTTAGCTTCTTCGAACGATACATTCCGCACTGTTACGAGTTAGCCCAGCTCCTTACGGAGCTACTCAAGGTAGATGCTAAATAACTCAGCTTTACGGAATCAGCTAAGCAGGAATCCAATGAGCTAAACCACCAGCTGGCAACAGCCAGGATTTTCGTGCATCTAGAACCTACGTCTCCGTTACGGTTAACGGTGGACGCCTCAGATATAGAGGTAGGTAGTGTACTACAGTAGCTACAGGTTGGAAACTTTTATCCGAGTGCAATTTTCTCTAAAAATATGCAGTCTGCCGAACGAAGCCATAGCACTTTCAGCAGAGAACTAGATATTTATATCAATGTGCACCGTTTCCCACATGATTTGTTAGGAAGTACATTTACGATATTCGCCAATTCAAAGTCTTTGACATATGTACCGCTTTTCGCTCCAGATCGTCTTTCACGTGAGAATCTAGATCGACGGATTCCATTTCCCTATATACCAACGAAATGCGGCATTTGTCCGGTGCGAATAAGTTTGTAGCAGATGCCTTGTTCTAGGCGAAAATCGAAATCTTGCTTGAGCACTCCCCTGCTGATCTCCAGGAATTAGCCACAACGCAACATCAGGATAAGCAGTTCCTACAACAACTTATTCCGCTGCCTGATAGTCCGGATGTTCTCATGTGTAACGTCTCCAAAGGAAAGCAAAAAATCTCTAGTTACATCGACCTACTGGCAAGTCCTTTTTGCTTCATTATATATTCCAGCTAATCCAGGCATCGGAACAGCTTGCAAACTCATTTCCGATCGGGTTGTGTGGTCAGCACTAAAGAATGAACAATGAACAATGATTTATAACGGGTAAAAAGCATATGCTTGAGAGACCCCGTAGGGTGGTTGGAGCAATAGATAAAATGGAAGGATAATCGAACAAGTAAATCGTTTTTTAAGCCACTACAGATTTCAACGCACCACTTCATAATGATAGTTTGAAGTATGGACTGGATGGATGTCTGCACCCAAAATAGAGCTGTTATATTACAGCAAATGTGGGAAAAAGAAATCAAATGAACGGATAACGCTCACTCGTGTGTTGCTTCCGTTGAGAGATGTGGTACGTTACTCCAGTTTGTATACATCCATGTCGCTCATTGGGACACTTCTGTATGTAACATCAAGGCCACTTTGCGGGGAGGGTCAGTAACCTCATGGTTTGGGTCTCGTTAATTCGTCCTCCGAATAGGACGTGCTATGCCACTAATGCAAGTTGGAAATAGTGTGTCATCTAGACGTTTTTTAAACAGTGCCAATGTGGGGGCAAGGACGACGTGAGTGGGGAGCGCATTCCAAGCACGGGACACACGGAGTAAGAAAGAGTTTCGTCGACAATCAAGTCGGCTGTAGTGCGTAGCCAGTTTGAGCTGTTGACCTCTCAGGTTGGTATTTTGGCTCAGCTGCAAGAGACTGCGACATGGGTGATTTGGATTCATCAGTATTAAGTAGACCATGATGAGGTCTCTTCGGTGACGACGATATTCACCACTGTACAATCCCAGAGACTGCAGTCTGCGTTGGTACGGGATGTGAAACAGGCCTCTGACGAGCTTCGTGTCTCTACGCTGTGGAGCTTCAAGTGCACTGATGTCGCGCTTGCGCCAGGGACGCCAGGCCTGGATCGCATACTCCACGTTGGGTCTCACGTAAGCGCTCTTCATTTGCGGAAATACAGATGGCTCGAAATTTCCGAAAGCCCTCCGTAAGAGTCCGAGATGTTGACTGGCCCTATTTCGATGCCTTTTCAGCTTGTCTGGAGCAGCCAAGGCCGTCCTGCACGATCACTCTGAGGTCGCATTCCTGGGAAGCATGTTGCAACGGCTGGTCCCCGAGTAAGTATTCATGGATGAGCTGGTGGCGTAAGCTCACGACTTTGCACTTGGCGATATTGAAGTGGAGCATGTTTTCGGATGACCAAGTGTACGCCCTGTCCAGATCGCTCTGCAGTGTTGTGTGATCGTCCTCTGTCCGGAGGTCATGCCAAATTTTGACATCATCTGCAAACAGCAAGAAGTTCGACTGTAGTACACTGGCAAGGTCGTTAATGAATGTTAAAAATAAACGTGGCCCCAGTACTGACCCCTGTGGCATACCGCACTGGACGTCAATTGGGTCGGCCATGGAGCTGCGGACTCTCACATTCAGCTGACGTTGAGTGGGAAAGTTGGCGATCCAACCAAGCACAGAGTCACCGATTCCGTAGCCTCGAAGCTTGTGTAGGAGGATGCGGTGGTCCAAACGATCGAACGCCTTCGAGAAGTCCAGGTAGACAACGTCGACTCCAAATCTAGCATCAGCTAACTCCGTCCAGCTTGCTCGGGCCAGCAGCAAGTTTGTAGTGCAGGATCGATTTCGGCGGAATCCGTGTTGCTGTGGCACTATTATATTGTTGTTCTCCAGATATCCCATCAGCGCCTCCGCAATTATACGTTCCATTATTTGGATAAAACTGGGAGGAGAGTGATTGGACGGTAGTTCGACGGCTCCGCACGATTACCGCTTTTGTAAATGGGTGTGACTAGCCCATGTTTCCACATTGTGGGAATCAGAATTTCGTTAAGACAACGTTGAAAGAACCGAGCTAATTGTTCGGCAATGTTTAGGGCCGTTGCCTTCAACGCCTTCGATTTAATATCTTCTACGCCTGGCGAGCTGTGCACACGCAACGACATTAGCGTTTTCAACACATTGGTTGCCGTGAACGATACGTTGTGTAAACCTGGGAACGTTGAGAGCTTTGTCAAAATCGGGTGAAGGAATGGTTCACTCCGGAAAGTATGGAGGACGTGTTGACGAAACACGTTGGCCGCGTCCTGTGCAGTTTGCGCATGACCATCTGTTGCACGCAAGACCGGGATCCCGCGCTGCACTCTACGGAGTTTGTTGATATGTCTATACAACAGCTTTGGATTTTTGCTGAATTTTGCTGATAAGTTCTGTTGGTGCTGGAGTTTGTCTTCGCGAATCAACTTGACGCAGTGGTTTCGTTGAGTTGTGTAGACTCCCCAGGTCAGATTACTCGGGCAAACTTTGTAAGTGTGCCAAGCCGAATCCCTTCAGGCCATAGATTTTCTTGTACGGCTTCTTAGGAACGAATCCACTTGCTTCGGGCGAAAGGCCTTGCGTTCTGATGCATTTGCCACTAGCTCAGTGAATTTGGTGACAAACACCATCCAAGCCTCATCGGGCGGATTCTCGGTCAGGAAGTACCAGTTGGTGTCTTGAACAAGGTTAGACAAGATATCGTAATGTGTAACCACATAAGTTTTCTCGTCGTTCGCTCTAACGTACTCCGAATAACAGATGTAACGAAAGTGCAACGTCGCGTGATCCCTACGACCTAGTGGTGTAGCTATGGTAACGGCGTCAATCATTTGTTCCTCGTTGGTGATCACAAGGTCCAAGACAGAGGGGGGTGTCACCCGTTCTGAAACGAGTGGGGGAGGTGACATTGTTATACAGTGGTACATCGGTAATCAGTTCTTGCAAATCAGCCTTGAACTGTTCGCTGGGCGATGCTGGAACTTCGAGTGCGTGCAGACTGAAGTCCCCCACCAGAAGAAAGTGACTGTGTGGACGTGTCAATACTCGTTTCATCGCAGCAGCAAGGCCTTGATCCATTTCCAAGGTAGACATTGGAGGACGGTAAACTATTGCTAGCAAACACACATCGCCACGTCTCAGGTGCATACGACACCAAAGAGAATCGTTGATGTTTGCTTCTGAGTCATCAATGATCTCAACATGTAGGTCGGATCGATAATACAAAAGCACTCCGCCTCCTCTGCTAGGCCGATCTTTTGGTAAGGAACTCATGCCAGGTAACGCAATCTCGGCATCCGCGATTTCCGTGCTCAGCCAGGTTTCCGTGACCATAACTAGGTCCCAGGGCGTGGAGACCTGGCGAAATCGAAGTTCGGTTAGCTTGCTGAGAAGACCTTATGCATTAGTATAGAAGCAGGTGAGGGCATCGGTGGTTAGAAGAGTGTTTGTAGACTCTGGTTTTCGGATTGAGTTTACGCCGACCCTTGTGGGGTCGGCTGCCGGTAGTATTTTTGTAGGACCGATGCTGCAGACCCTACGGCCAGTTCAGGTCGTTGTATTGAGCTCTCAGCGCCAACAGGTGGGTGACCAACTTGTCCCCCTTCAGCCGGCAGCGTGTTTTGGCATTGTCTCTGGTCTGAGCTACATGGCGGCAGAATTGTATTGGTACGTTGCTTGCTTAGTGTGACATGGCCTGTTGGTGGTTCAGTGCCCATCGTCTTTATACGTATTTCGGATGGTAGCATTTGACGCATTTTGCGCCACGTATTGATCACATATTCTACCATCATTTCGGAATGCAACGGTATTTTCATCACTCGGAGACCACATCCTTTGTAGTTAGGTGAGAGTGGTAACCTTGATGTCGAAGTAGCAATAACGTTTTCGAGTGAGAGCAGTTCGCGAATAAAACGCCATTCATCCCAGTCATGCGCTTTGGCCTCTAGATCGCTTGAGATCTTGAGCTCGGGGACACCGTGAACAAGAACAGATTTGGCGTCTTGTCGTTTACGGAAGTCGTCCGGATTTTGTTTGCGTTTTTGGCGTTCGCTCCAAGGAACATCTGGAAAGATTCGAACTGTGCATGATGTGGTACGGAGGCGAGTAGCTGACAAGAGAACTTCCTCTGCTTCATTAGCTGATTGTAGTGTTACCTGGAATAAACGTGGATCACCATAGTGTATGGAGTTTGGGTGACGGACGAGACGCACCATACTGATTGGTTTAACTTGAACCTCCATCAGTTGACACAGGGAGTCCCACTGTCTTTTGTCGTCCAATATCTTATCTTTTATAGAGTTCGCCCCGGATTCAGTCACATTGGAACATATAACTGTCAAGGGATTATGGTGTTTTTTAATGTCCACCTTGTGAGGACCAGTAACTGGTTTCTTCGCTTGGGTAGATGATGAGGTCTTGAGTCCCGTGGTGGTAACGGTAGTATTAACTTGTTTGGCAGCGTGTTGCGTAACGATGAAATGGGCCTCAGCCGTATGAGTAGTGACAACGGACGCGTATGTTGTGTATGGTGAGAACTTGTCTCAGCTGTCAACGTTTCAAACTGCAGCACCATACACAGGCACCGCCTGGCGTTTTCACGGTTTCTAGTGCTCGTTTCTCTCAGGCTCACATCAACATCGTTGATTTGCTATCGCCGTCGAGTGGGTATAATTACATACAGACTTGTATCGATCGGTACCATCGTAGGCCTTTTGCAGTCCTCATTTTTGCAGAAACGGTGGCACACAACTTCGCAGCTTATTGGATTGCATATTATGGTGTGCCATCTACCATAACAACTGATCACGGAAGGTAATTCCAATCAGCGACCTTTCGAGAGTTTACTAATACTCCCGGAGCCAGCAAATAAGAACAATTGCGTATCACGCAACGTCGAAAGTGTGAGCCGAAGGTTTCCATCATCATTTTAAAACTTACTTGCTGGTATGTTTTGACCCAACTCGTTGGACCGAAACTTTACCGCTCGTTCTCTTAGGTGTTCGAACGACACCTGAAGCTGATTTAGGTTGCTGTGCCGCGGAGCTGGTATACGGTACGACGTTAAACTTCCGGCTGACCACGTTCATGCCATCGAGACAAACGCTCTAGATCCATCAAAATTAGTACATCGCCTACGTACAGCTACGCGTGAACTGCATTTTACTGCCACACGCTCCCAGACTAACAGGTTTCACGTACCAAAACACCTAATAAGTTACGTGTAGTCCGAAGGCAACTACATCCACCGAACTAAGTGCCATATGAGTTTGCCTCAACAGCACAGAAATACTGTAATATCGGTATAAATGTCAACATCGAAGTGACTGGTAATACGATGCACAAAGACACCTGTTTGATCAGCCGTAATGAGTAGGATCCAAAAGTTACAGTTAATACGCAATGGAAACCAACTTTGAATAACTACATCAAGGCAAATCAGCGCAGGTTCCCTCTTTTTCTTCCGCTTTTATCTGTATAAGTTTAAAATATATCAATGGGAATACACGCATTTAGTTCAATATCGCGCCTAATAACCATGGGACATTAGCATTGAATCCAGCAGCTATTAAGCGCCCCATACAGATTTTCCAGCGGATCAGACCAGTCAAGTGTAGATTTGCCGTAAGAAATCCGGTGAGATGAGGTTTCGTTAAGGACCAAAATTATCGGTGGTGCATTGGCGAAAACACAATATTTTCCCGACGGTAAACAACGTAATATTAGCGCTGCGTTTGTCTAGAATTTTCAAAAGGATTAATTACTCCACAGCGGTTCAAAATATGGCTCTGGACGACGAATCACCCTTTACGATAGGGTTTGCTAAATCGTTTGGAGAATTAGGGAGGAACGTTTGTCTTTTGGATTTAATATCTCCGGCAACATAATCTATAAATTCTCGCTACTCACTAGATGATTCTCCAAGGTAGTCTTTGTTGAGGATGAGTTGGTTTTGAATGGTATGTCGGAAAGGCATAATCCCATTCGATGCACCTTTCGCACAAGTCCCTATAAATTTCCTAATCATCTGCAACTAGTATTATTGCAAGAAAACTTGAGAAAGATAAATTGCGCGAATAGACGTTTGTGCTGAGATGACTCATTTCAGTGGCACAGATATTGAAGTGGGATCCAATAAAGCAAACATCCATAGTAAGATTTACCTGTAATTCCGTCGACCACGATGGAACCAAGGAGAAAGAACTGTTCCATAGGCAACTACACCATCACTTATTTGACCACATTCGCAAACGTTTGCAGGTATCTGCGATGGTACGTTGCTTATAACCTGACTCCTCATCAATAGGCTTCAGCTACAGGGAAGAAACACCTTAGCTATTGTAGCGCATTCCATGTGAAGGGAAAACACTATAGTGTCACTCTATCGAAGCCACAACTAAGAGATGAATCTCGTCAAGGATAGCTAGCAGCCTTAAATTGAGCCAAAAGATAGTTCTCTTGTGCATAGGAAGAGAGCTCGTGTTTGAAACGAGAGGTTCAGTGAGTAGGGATGGACAAAGAAACTCACAGCGCAAACGCCATGGAGATCGGCTCCAAGCAATTGCAGCAAGTCTATCCAGGTAAACAAAATCATCGTCTAACTAGAGAGCTGCAAGGCTCCAACCGAGACCAAATTTCAATTAAGGGACTTCATCCCTCTTGATCAAGTCACCACTTGTTCTCCTCTCCCCTTCTAGCATCCACAGCCTCGGCGCGCAAACGACGCATGTCGCGGTGTGCTGGCATGCGCAACACGTGGCCCTGCCATCGGAGTCTGGTGCGTGAGATAATGGTGCTCAGTGGTTCAATTCCTCATGCTGTACCATGGACAATGTTTCGAACATGCTGATTGCTTACGCAGTGTTCCTACCAGGTAGGAGCAAAACAGTGAGGTTTGTGGCCTACGACGATAAAGCACTACATATTTCTGCTCTCTCAAACATTTGTTCTACTTACTATGAACCAATTTCGGCCTAGCCATTCTTACAGTGATCAGTTTACGATAACTGTATCTCGGGGTATCTAAAAAGATGCGTACCGTTTGTTTCGATGTCCATTGAATCGTGTATAAAAACCTTCACTTCTCATAAGTATTCGCAACAAGCATAATATAAAACTCTCGAAACTGGGACTACGGAGGATTATGTTTCCGCTACTGTTAACTCAAGGCCCGCCGAGGTTTGCGATATATGATCCATAGTTGATATTTCCTTACTAAATGTTAGATAGCATCCTGCACTTTACTTTTGTCAAGGCGTTTTAGCTCTTGTTCCCGAAATGAAGTTGGGTATCTCCTAGTCTAATTACAACGGCTTTATATTCACATAGTCGAGTATTTGTGAAGCACTCACTCTACGAGGCTATGAGAATGAGGGCGGTTGTCAGTTTTGTTCGTTAATTGTAAGGCACTCCATCAGTGGCCTATATTAGCCTCGTAATTTATGACATACGTTGATTCCAGTTGGTGATGTGAGTTAGTAATGGCAGTTTGGTGGTTAGAACTTGCCTTCTCAGATAGCTGATGATTGTGCTGGACAGTGGCATCTGTCACATCAAAAACAATAGCTGCGAAGAACACCTGCCGCCGTGAATCATTAGATGTGAGAGCTCTTGTGACATATGAGATTTATTAAAAACACAAATACCAAATTATCTTCGACTGGCCGTTTATAGGAGCAAATTGACTGACTGACATATCGTGTCTTTGAAGAAATACGCCTTATAAATGCAGTGTGACGAAACCATCATGAAGTCTTCCAGTAAGTAGTTCCGTAACTAGAGTCGAAATGGTTTTGTACACCATATATATTGCTCACATTGAAATCAATCGGCAAATGGGTTAAGCTGAATATTCAATTACGCAGCTTACTCATAAGAAAAGTAATATTCTTCACTCAATAATGCAATTTTTGCAAATTTAACAATGCCAACGTTGTTGACAATCTGCTTTGTCGGATTAGGGAGCTTAACAACTTACATATTTTGCCCACTTCATCGGTAGGCACTTAGTATCAGCTAACATTTGCTTTGAACCTGGTCGGTATATTAATCACTAAAAGGCACTCTGCCATTTGTCATTCACGCCAATAGTTAATGGACACTGTGGAAACATCGGTAGAATTGGTCTACTCAGTATCTGCACGGACATTACAGCACAGGATCATCATTAGTCACCCACGATCAACGTGTGATATTCTGTCAATGTACGGTTGGCATAACACTAGTAGGTAAACGGATTTTAGTGTAGTCGGTGATTTCTGGATTGCCGATATATTTCGTAAATACAAATCACGCATAAAATGAAACAGTTTTTTTCCGGTTATTTAAAAACATCGACTGCTTAACACACACTCTCTCACAACAGGGATTTGCTTCCAACATGCGTAACTTGTTACGTGGAATTTTATTTTAACTGCTGCGTAAAATGGCACATTAGAACAGATATATTGATGGTCCAAGTTTTATTCAAAACTAGAAGCAAACAATAGAGATCGAGGTCTCAAGTTAGCTGAAATTCTGTACATAAGGGACATATGCTAGTTACGGTAGATTTAAATATACGTTCGATTGCTTTTAAAACCGTGCGAATCATGGCACCGTTTTAAAGGTCAATCGAACGTATATTTAAATCTTCCGTTCCTAGCATAAGTCTCTTATGTACAGCATTTCAGCTAACGTGAGACCTCGGTCTCTATTGTTTTCTTCTAGTTTTAAATAGAAACTTGGACCTTCATTCTGTCTGTTCTAATGTGGCATTATGTGCAGCAGTTAAAACAAACATCCACGTAACACGTTACGCAGATTGGAAGCAAATCCCTGTTGTGAGTGAGGATAGCATGTTGTGCAGGAGGGATATAACATTGGTATTTTCGTTGATGAAGTGATCTGTTGCAAGAGATTTCGTCTGACTAACGGCTACTGCAGTTGCAGTAAGGTAATTACCCATACATATATTATGCATATTATACGACACTTATAGTTTACCAAATCGAGAATATTGAAGTAAATATATCGTGTGGTAATGTGACTCTCCCCACTTCTTGCTGCATGGTGATATCTGAAAACTGGTGTTGGTGTACTTATCGAATACTTATATGGTCTACGAACAGAGCTAATTCAAAAATCAATAAATTCAAACAAATCAATTGAAAGTTTGACACATCGAACTGACAGTTAAATTGATGGAAAACGCATTTTTTCAGGGAACGTTCTGGGT